GGCATGGCTAAATCTGGCTGATGAGAGTTGCAGTCCCAGAGGGCAGCAGCTTGAAGAAAGCTGCCATATAGGAAGATAGGAGGGTCAACGTTTCCCTCATACCTTGGCATTTTAAGGTGCAAGCTTCTGAGTCACACAGGACCCTATCTCTCTCTTTTAAGGACTCATCCTGAAGCAAGAGTCCTGTGTGACTCCAAAGCTTGCACCCGGCAATTTTATGTCTTTATTTCTTTATATACAGCTTGGTTGTCAACAACCTTGAAGTGGTTTACGTTTAGGTACTCTGGGGACATGTCCGCCTGCCAAGATGAAGCCAAGTGACCTGAGCTATTATGGGTTGCAGGGAGCCCATTTTGAAACGGGTAGAGCCTCTTCCTTAAACTGAGGCAGCAGTCAACAATGGGCATTTGAAAAGACAGGAAAATGAGAGTAGGGAAGGCAAGCTACGGTTCATAAAGAACCATCCATATTTTTGCTTGTCTGCAAAAGTCGGCAAGCCGGAGCCACCACTGGGGAGGCCACGCTCCTTTTCTGGGGTCATGGAATGGGATGAAGATGTTGGGACTTTCCCTTAAGTCCCCAAGAGACAGGCAGGTGCCCAGACCTAAGTCTCCAAGTTCCTCTTGGCCTCTCCTGCTATTGTAGACCTGCCCATGTCTGCCTGATGGTGGCTTAGAGTCAGACCAGCATTTCTCAAAAAGGATAGTAGCACCTTGGGGGGTGGGGTGGCAGTGTGTGTGTGTGTGTGTGTGCTAAGAGGCAAGGGGGCACCGGAGATGACAATCAGACTTTGAAATGCTGCTGTCACTGTATCGGGCTCATCCATTTTGTAGCATTGATTAAACAAAATTTAATTGGATTTTGAATAAACGTGCAATTGATGGTTACTATTTTACATTTCATTATGTCAGCCTGGACACACCGTTTCTCCGGACGCACCTCTGAAAGCCTACCGAAGGCATCAGAGAACCCCGAATTAAAATAAGCCGGACCCCCACTAAAAGTGGGTGGGGGCGCCGAGGAGGATAGTGAACCGGGTTTATCAGTTTTTAATAACAGAAGCAGGGCCACGAGGAGTGATCCCCAACTCAGCTCTACCCACTGCAATCATTAGACCCAAGTTATGCGTGCCAGTTAATACGCCTACTCCGAGTAGGACTAGCCCCGCCTGCAGACTCCGTTTCTGTTCCTTCCTGCCTCCTTTCGTTGTGGGTACGTGACTGCTGCTTTTGCTTTCGAGCAGCTGTGTCACACACCTCAGACTTTCATATTTGCTAAGCTTCTTATTTGAAAATCTTCCGGGCGGGGGACAGGCGGGGGAAGGGGAGCGGAGCCCTTTCAAAGTGGGATAAAAGCGAACTTCGTCTCCCCTCGTCCCGGGGCGGGGCAGCTCCCCTAGGGCAGACAAGTTACCTCGCTTTCCGGGTTTCTTCTCCTTTCTCCCCCCCCCCAGCGAGATGGGAAGGGGTCCGCGGGCCGGGTGGTGTGGCCCCTGGGCGCCTTTCGGCAAAGGGAGCGGGCGCCAGAGCAAGGCGTTCGATCCCACGGAAATAATCGATTAATATTATTCTTTGGAAACATTCTGAAGTCGCGAAGAGGCTGACAAAGTAGCATAAAAATATATTTAAAAACCCCAAATACGACCTAGATTCCTGTTGGTGTTATTGATAGCAACAGCAACGGTTATTACAATAACTAAATTAAATTAGCAATTAATAAAATAGTAATAATAGCAATAATAATTATAAACTGGGGTGTGGGGATTTGCACATGCTGTTCCTGAAATGCAATTGTTATTCTCGCTCAAAAACCGGGAGAAATCCACGGTAACGACCTCGAAATTCGCCTCGCAAAGCGGCAAGCACGCCAGTCTTTTAAAGCCCCGGAGGAGAGGAAGGCTGGGCGCGCGCCCTTGTGGGGGGAGGGGAGAGGAATATTTTCAAAAGTTGAGTGGGGGGAATCTCCTAAACAGCGGTGGAAAGGAGAGCCGTCCGCCTGGGCTTGCGACGCAGGAGAGGCGAAAATGAAAGCAGCCTCCGGCGCGCATCCCCGGGTCGGCGGGCCCGCGATCTCCAAACGCCTAAAAAAGGGCCTCTTCTCCCTCTCCAAAGTTGGGCGCGCCTGGGTGGCTTCCAGCAGAATCCATCGATCCTTCCCCAAAATCCCCTTTCAGGCGTTTTTGATGCGGTTGTAAATTCAATTGCGTTGTGTTGTTTTAAGTTGAGAAGTTTTTGTTATTAATTCGTTAACGCGTTTCTTGTCGTTTTCAAGCCTTTGAAAAGGCTGAGAAAAACCGTCTCGCTCCTCCAGCCAAGGAAGCAAGCGATCCCATTCGTTTTAAATCCTTTTTTGGAAGAAGAGGCGCAATAAAAAAATATATTGCCTTATATTCCTCGGGTCCATTTTTGCTCCTTAATCGAAATCGCTGGCGGCTAAGCTTAACCCTCGATTTAACCCGGGGGAAGCAGAGCCGGAGAATCTCTTTCGATCAAGCGTTTTATAAATCTTCGAAATAAATGAAAGAAGCAAGTAGTTTCACCCGTCCAACCGTTTGTCAATCGACGACGAGGGGGCGGGTTCGCCTGCAGGGACTATTAGTAGAGCTCCCCTCTCCCCAAAAAATCCAGTCTCCAAGTCCTAACCCGTGTTCAGAGAGTGGAGGGATCTGGTATTTAGAGCGGGTTTTTATGCCGTAGTCGTCTGAACACGGACTCCTGTATAATATTTTTCCCCTCGCCGGCCTAGAGAAATGCACTGAGGTTTCGAAGGCGCGGGGAATAAAACACGGATCTTACCATCTATCTCTCTCTTACATACACGCTTCTGGGTCTGGGTCTCGTGTGGACGATGCCTCCCCCTGCTCTCCCGGTTCAAAATCATATCGCGCCTGAACTCCGTTGCTAAACCGCTTTGGGATGGGACCCCTCTCTACTCGAAAAGCCTTCTAAATCCCACTCCCCCGCCCCCCAAATAATGAAGAAATGGGAGAAATGCCCTTCAGGACCCAGAGATGGATTTCACATAATTTGTGAAGTGGGTCTGATGGGACTAAAATGGAAGACCTAGAGGAGCGGGAAGGAGGGAGACGGAAGGTGGTCTCTGGCGATAAGATTCTGTATTGCTTTATTGTAACTTGTCAAAGAGAATTAATTTTGGTTATTTACTTATTGCATTTCAATCCCACCTTTTTTCTCCAAGGAGCTCTAGGTGGTTCTCTTCCCCCCATTTAATCCACCCAGCAACCCTGTGAGGTGGGCCAGGCGGAGAGTGACTGACTGGCCCCGGGTCACCTGGTGAGCTTCATGGCCGAGTGAGGGATTTGAACCCTGCTCTCTCCCAGGTCCTAGTCCGACACTCTAACCACTAGGCAACACTGGGTCGCTGGAAATGGAGGGGGCGGGAAAGGAGCGGGATGGTTAGCGCTGGAAGCAACTAAGGAGAAAACAGGACTCTGGTCCCAGTCTCCTTTCGAAATCTCATCGTGCAAAAACAAGGTGCTCTCTCTCTCTCTCTCTCTCTCTCTCTCTCTCTCTCTCTCTCTCTCTCACACACACACACACACACACACACACGGATAAACACCACTTTCTCTTTCACACACTTTCCCTGGCCGGTTCCTGCCCCCGGCTGAGGACCACAGCCGTCGCTTTGATAGCAACGGGGGTCCGGGTTGGTTTTGGCTGCAGGAGAAGACCCGACGCGGCGGAGGCTCTTTCCCAAATTTGAGAGAGGCTGCAAAGAAAGAACCCGAGGAAGCAGGAAGGGAGGCCCATTGTCCGTGCAAAACTCCCGGTTTCTTTGGCTTCCCAAGTCCTCACACCCCCCGAGCCACTGAAAACATGCGAAGAGAAGATCACCCGAAGGGCCCTGCAGTGCAGGACGGGGCCGAAGGTCTTCGCAGCGCCCAACTAGATGCCCCAAATGGGAAGTCCCCGAGCAGGACCTGGACGACTGATTGTGTGACTTCTGAGTGAGGAACTGGGTAGAATCCTGCTTGCGTGCTCAGTTCAGAGCGGCTGGGGATTTGGGTGTTGTGTTTTAAAAGAATGAAAACTGGACATTGGTGGAGAGGGGGGCTACCATAAGGATCAGGCCGGGCGGGGCATCGAGCCCAGTACCCAGTTCTCACAGTGGCCAACCAGACACTCCCAAAGCGAAGCCCCCAAGCAGTACCTGAGCGCACAACAGCAACCCTCTCTGGTATAAAAACATATATCTCTGTAACGAAAGAGACGCTATTTATTCAGATAGGGAGTGCTGCTGGAAGAGTTCAGGATCCCAACTCCTCCGCTGCGAACTCCCCGTTTGGACCCCTCTCCCCCGGCCCTTCAAAGCGGTCCCAGGCCTCCAAAAAAGCGCCCGACGGGACCCCCGGAGCCGCGCGCCTGAATGAAGCGGAGAGCCGCTTTGTCGTTCCCGCGGGGACCGCCAGGTGTCGCCAGCCCAGCAGGCTCCTTCAGCACCCGCGGAGAGGAATTGGGTCCGTGTGTGCGCGGGCGCGCGCGTGTGTTGGGGGGCAGCGCGGGATTCCTGGAGGAGGAGAGGAGAGGGGGCTGTGGCCAGGGGGCAGGAGAGCGGCTGGGGAGCGAAGTGCGAGGAAGGGCTATTTACCCCTAGGATCCCCCCCCCAATCACCATATCCCGCGGAGACATGGGGGCGGTGTGGGTGGGGGGCAGAGGAGAAGCAGAAGTGGGGCAGGGGAGGCGCAAGGAGGGGCGGGCGCTGGCCGTCTGGCCCCTAAACCCGCAGCACCCACCTCTTGGACGAGAAGCGCTCCCGGGGCCGGACAGGGAAGGGGGCGCTCGCCAAGGGCCAAAGACGGAGCTCCCTCGACGGCGGCGGCGGCGCTCCCTCTTCTCCTTCCCCTCGGGGTAGCCGGAGCCGAGGAGATCCCCGGCAGCGCGCAGCGGCGAGGGACCCGCCCCGGCCTGAAGGTCCTCCCTCCCACCCCATCCCACGGCGGGTGGGGGGGGGGGCGCGGCCGCTGATTCTCCTCCTACCTGGGGCGATTCCTGCGGGAGCCCCGTCGGCGCGGCGGCTCCTCCTCCTCCTCTTTCTCTGCCCCATCCGTCCCGCCCGCCCCGTCCTGCTCCGCTTGCTTCTCTCTGGCCCAGAGGAGGAGGAGGAGGAGGAGGAGGAGGAGGAGGAAGCCGCGGCGGCTCCTTGAACACGCCCGAGTTCAGCTCGGGGTCAGGCGGAGTTCGCGGCCCGGCCTTTACCTTTTCCGCCGCCGCCGCCGCGCTCCCGGCACATGGGGCTCAAGCGCAGCAGCAGCAGCAGCAGCAAGAGCGAGCAGCGGCGGCCAAGAGGTCTGAGGCGCCGGTGAGGGGCGGGCGCCGCCGCCGCCACGGCAGTAGCGCAGCCCGCTAAGCCATGCGCGTCCACACGGACCTCGCCTGCCTGGCTGACTCGACGGGGCTCCCGGGTAAGACGGCGCGGCGGGCTGGCGGGAGGCACTCCAGATTGCGCGCCCTTTCCGAAGAGACCCAGCGAAAATACTTCACTGCCCCGTCCCCCCCAGGAAAAGAAAAGTCCTTTCTTTCCGCCCCCTCCCCCAGTCCCAGGCGCGGCGCTTTTTCGCGCGCCCGATCCTCAGCTTGAGCTGCGCTGCGGCTCTCCCTGTTCGCCCCGCCAAGCTAGCCTGCCCTGCCCGACATGTCAACCCGGAGCGGGAGGCACAACCGAAGGCGACTCTCCTTCGGAAGAACTTGGAAAGCAGAGGATGGCTTTTGCCCCGCGACCGGGGGCGCCTTGGAAGTTTTTTCGGGAGGCTCTTACGTCCTTCCTCGGTCCTCTACTGAACCCCAATTCCTCTCCCGAGCTCGCTCTTCGCTCTGCAGTCGGTCCTGGGGCGGAAGATCCCCCTTCGGCCGGCCGAGCGGCCTTCCCTCCTGTCTCCTCCGAGGCCAGCGGCTTTGGAAGCGCTTTTCCCGGCTGCGGAGCGGGCTCCGTCGGGCTGTCAACTCTGCAGCCCAGAGAGCGTGGCGGGCAGGGCGGGCGGCTCCTTCTTCTCTCCCCGTCAAATCTCTCAGCTTTCTCTTTCTCCTCCCGCCACTCTCCTGCACATTTTGGAATTTGTTTTTGTTTTTAAACTTTCCCGAAATGCATTTTTGACATTTCCCTGGCCTTCACCAGATCGCACATAATGTCTCCCCCTTTTTTGGCAGGGACCTATGACTAACAAACACCACAACTTAGGCATGGTTCACCCTGCCCTCAGCTCCGCTTATGCACCCCGCACCTCACCCCGGGGACGGAGCTGACCCTCCTAACTGGGGCTGGTGAGGAGTTGGAAAAGGCAGACCAGGCCTCGCCCTGTTCGCGGCTGGAAGGGAGCGCAGGGCCGCTTTCGCTTCGGCCTGGGCGCTCCCTGCAGATGGTGCCTCGGATCCCAGCACCAAAGTGGAGCAAGGGGAACAGTTTCCTGGGCCCAGAAGGCTCCCCAAAACCTCTCAGTTTTGTTTTGTCGGACCGCTAGCTGGGTGCAAGCGGTGCCTTCTGCTCCCGGGACCCGGACGGATCCCAGCGAGGCGCGCTTGGAGAGACGGTTGGAAGAAGGGCAGGGACGTTGCAGGGCTTACTCGGAAGCCGGTCCCGTTGCATGAAACGGGGCTGACTCTCTAGTAACGAGGCTCATTTAGGATCGTAGCCTTTAAGGCTCAGGGCTAGAAAGCGCGCAGAGAAAAGGAAGGGGTGGGGACTGCGTTTTGACGCTTGGGGCAGCCGCCTCTTGGGGACCTCCGGAGGGCAGAAGACCGGGGCTCGCTGTGCTCTCTGGGGTCTCCGAGGCGGCATCCAGAAAGCGAGCCTTCTGAAAGCCGGATCGTGGCCAGAGGGAGACGAGTAGAGACGGAGAGGCCGGCGGCTGCATCAGTGCTTTTGGCCGGTTGGCTCCGCAGGGTGGTTGCGCTGGGCGAGGGGAGAGACGTGGAGAGGCGCTGCCCCCTCCAGGTGTGAACGCTTAGCCCTGCTCCCCCTCCCCATCCGGAGGGGGGCGTGGGATGCGATCGGCAACGGCGGAGATACCGGGGGGCTGAACATCCCCCCTTTCCGCCGCCGCCTCCTCCTTCCTTGAGAGGGAAACCCCTCTATAAGGGCAGACTGGCGGGGAAGGAGCCCAGAGTGCCCTGCGAGGAGCCCGGGGCCGAGGCAGAGTCACACACGTTCCGAGGGGCGTCCGCGCCGTCGTGGGACAGGAGAGGGCAGCGGTGCGGGCAGGCTGGGCCCCCCGCGCTGACGCTGCCCGCCGGGCTCTCTCTCTCTCTCTCTTTCCGTGCGTGTCTTTCTGCAGGAGAGCGCGGCGCAGCGATGCTGGACGCCTCGTCGGAGTCGGCGGGCCACTCCCGGCAGCTGCTGCTGCAGCTCAACGCGCAGCGCACCAAGGGCTTCCTGTGCGACGTGATCCTGGTGGTGCAGAACGCGCTCTTCCGCGCGCACAAGAACGTGCTGGCGGCCAGCAGCGCCTACCTCAAGGCCCTGGTGGTCCACGACAACCTCATCAACCTGGACCAGGAGATGGTCAGCCCGGGCGTCTTCCGCGCCGTCCTCGACTTCATCTACACGGGCCGCCTGGGCGACTCTGACGGCGGCGGCGGCGGCGGCGGAGAGGGAGAGCCCAGCCTGGGCGCCGTGCTGGCCGCCGCGAGCTACCTGCAGATCCCAGACTTGGTGGCCTTGTGCAAGAAGAAGCTCAAGCGCTCGGGCAAGTACTGCCAGCTCCGCGGCGGCTACTCGCCCTTCGGCAAGCTGGCGCGCGGCCTGCGCGCAGCCACGCCCGTCATCCAGAGCTGCTACGCGCCCCCGGGGCTGCCGCCGCGCCCCTCCGAGCCGCTCAGCACCCACTGCGGGGAGCTGTACGCCGCAGCCTCCGCGCACCCTCATGGGGCCGGTCTGTGCCCCCCCGAGCGCCTCTGCTCCCCACTCTGCGGCCTCGACCTCTCCAAAAAGAGCCCCAACGGGCCCTCGCCGCAGCTGCCCGCCCCGCCGCCGCCGCCGCCGGAGAGCCGCCTGCGCGCCACCATGGAGGGTCGCGAGAACGCCAGGCCCGAGAGCCCCGCCTTGCTGCCCAACCACTCGGCCTTCGGGGAGGCGGCCCCTTCGCAGCTGCAGGCGCCCTTCCACCACCTCCTGCACCACCACCGCGGAGGCAGCCCCGGGTCGGAGCCGTCGGGGCGCGCCGGCGAGGTGGCGCCGCCGGAGTTCTTCTACCGCTGGATGAAGCACGAGCCGCTGGTGGGCGGCTACGTGGAGGACGACGAGGACGACGACGACGAGGGCGGGGGCGATTGCCGGGGAGGGCGGCGGGACAAGGAGGGCGAGCTGGACCACAAGCCCGAGTCGCCCTCCTCGCAGGAGCAGCCGCCGCGGCGCTACCCGAGCCTGGAGAGCGGCGGTGCAGGCGAGCCCGACGGGGAGGACCTGGAGAACGACAAGAGCACTAGCGAGGAGACGGGCTGCAGCAGCGGAGGGCCTTCCCCGGCCGGCGGCAGCCTGGAGCGCTACCTGGGCTACGAGCCGGAGAGCTTCGGCGGCGACAACCTGTACGTGTGCATCCCCTGCGGGAAGGGCTTCCCGTCATCGGAGCAGCTGAACGCGCACGTCGAGGCGCACAACGAGGAAGAGGAGCTGTACCGCAAGGAGGCCGCCGAGGCGGCCGCCGCCGCCGGGCAAGGTTCTCCTTTTCTGGACAAACCTCTTCCGCCGTCGTCGCTGCCGCAGCAGCAGGGGCCTCCGCCACCGCCGGTGCCGTCGGGGGCGTGCGACCTGCTGCGCCCTTACCGCTGCTCGTCGTGCGACAAGGCCTACAAGGACCCGGCCACGCTGCGGCAGCACGAGAAGACGCACTGGCTGACGCGGCCCTACCCCTGCTCCATCTGCGGCAAGAAGTTCACGCAGCGCGGCACCATGACCCGCCACATGCGGAGCCACCTGGGCCTCAAGCCCTTCGCGTGCGAGGCGTGCGGGATGCGCTTCACGCGCCAGTACCGCCTGACGGAGCACATGCGCATCCACTCCGGAGAGAAGCCCTACGAGTGCCAGGTGTGCGGCGGCAAGTTCGCCCAGCAGAGGAACCTGCTCAGCCACATGAAGATGCACGCGGCGGCGGCGGCGGCGGCTGCAGCGGCGGCGGCGGCGGGCCCCGACGGCAAGCTCAAGCTGGACTTCCCCGAGGGCGTGCTGGCCATGGCGCGCCTGGCGCAGCAGCAGCAGCACGACAAGGAGCTGCTCAGCCACACCTCGCACTTCCTGGCCGCCGCCGCCGACCCCAAGGCCGCCATGGAGGGCCTCTACCTCGGGCTCAGCCCCGACAAGGCGGCCGAGGTGCTCGCCCAGGGAGCCGCCGCCGCCGCTGCAGCTGCCGCCGCCGCCGCCGCCCACCTGCACAACGACCACCACGCCCGGACCATAGAGCGCTTTTCACCCCCCTGACGACCCCCGCAGCACCCCCCTCCACGCTCTCCCGCTCTCCCTCCACGGACCGGGGCTTGTGGGGGAGGGAAGGGGGATCCCCTAAGTTGTTTGGGGTGTGAGAGTGCCTTTGTGTTCTGCCCGGGAGAGGGGGTGACTCTTGCCCCCACTGCGAGGGAAAGGACAGCTTTCTCCCCAAAAGTGACCGGCGCAGCCCCCCCCAAGGGAACAGTTCAGCCCCCTCTTATTTGTGACGAGGGAGGGGACGTCATGGAGTCGTCGTCCTCTCCCCCCAACCTCTCGTGAAGCCAGAGCTCACCCCTCTCTCTGTTCTCTATTTCTGTTCTCTGCCAAGCTGTGGAGCTGCCCCCAAAGCGGAATTGTGAATTTGTCCCTAGCTCAGATACACGCCCCCCCCGTAGAGTTGGAAGGACCCAAAGATTCATCGAGTCCAGCCTCATTGCTGGTTTTTCCTTTTTGTGGGGAGGGTGAGAATAGTCTCCCCCTCCCAATGGCCTCTGTCACCTGTCACCTGATCTCGCCATTGGGCAAAAGGAGTCCTGTTGGGGCCTGACAGCCTCTGCAAGTCTCAGTGCTCTACCAGAAAGGAGCCTCGCAGGGGTGGAAAACTAGCGCAGCAGGGAAAAGGGCTTTCTCCTAGTTTTCTATGTGCAGGGAGATTATAATCTGACACGCTTGTGGGTTTTTTTGGGTGGCCTAGAAATGTTCCCCCCACCCTTAAATTTGAAGTGGTGCAATTCAGAATGATATCCCAGCTTTTTTTTTTTGGGAAATATGGAAGAGCTCTCTCCTCAAGGAGAGAAGGGAATCTTGCCTGCCCAAACTGCAAAAGAGCTGCAGTTGTCTGATTTGTAGGGATCTGCTCAGGAAAGGGGCCTTGGTGCAATTCTCAGGAATTGGGACATGTGGGTTGTTTTTTTTACAAACCCTAACTCCAGCTCTTAAAAGCTTTAACAACAAAGCAACAATCAGTGATGCTTTCCCCCCACCCTTGAGTGCCCAGGGTTTTGAGTTGGAAGGAAAAGAAGCAGGCTAATAAAGTCTATCCAGAGAGCACCTTGAGGACTGCCCCCCCCCTTGCTAGGGAGGTCAGGCCTGTGTGTCATGGGCCTGATCCCACCAACTCCATTCCTCCTTCCCTTTCAGGAGTCAAACCTTGAGGCTGCCCTCTGGCCCTGCCAGAAATGGCCAGGAGGTTGTGCTCCTGACTGCCTCTCCCTCTGCCCCCAAGCTTTTCCTGTGGGGCAGACCCACATTTCTACCTGCCTATCTTGACGCACTGAATTGTCATCCTATGCCTTCAAACCGCCACACCTGTTGATTTTCTGCCTGTCACAATGGGTGACAGGCAGGACAACAGGCAAGGAAGCCTTAAATCTTGGCATGGGACCCAACCCCTTCGGGTTCAAGGTTTACACAGAGCTCCACAATGTGCCTTCCTGCAGAACTAGGGAGTGAGAAACTCCTGGCTCTGCAGATGTCGCTGGACACCCAACTCCCCTCATCCCTTTCCAGGCTGGCTGCTGTGCAGTGACTTTGGGAAGGTGGTGAAGCTCCCAGTGCAGCCTGGCTCACTGGCACCAGCTGAGCACGAGTCCAAGTGTCCAGAAGTTTTTCCCACAAATCCTGTGTGGTGACTGTGGGGGCAGAGCAAGGGGCGCGATGTCCTTAAGTTTCCTGCATCCCTTTTGCCACAGAGGCAACAGGTGAGTGGATGCCCTGGGCCTCACCTGAGCAAGCACTTAACTCTCCCCTCAACCTCTTTTGCAATGTGAATAGGAGAGGGGGCCCTCACTCCCCCTTCTCCCCCTACTAAAGACTCCACACGGCTGTGACCAAGGGGTGGCGATGGGGTGTGTGTGTTCCTTCTTACAATGGGGTCCCTCTCCCTTTGAATCAGCTCCATCCCAGTCTTCCAACCCCAAGTCCCATCTTCCACTTTCTCACTTTGAGCCAAAGATTATTTTGGGGTATTTGTGTGTGGTTTGGGGGGTGCCCTCCTTCTCCCTGCTTGTCCCTCCTCCCCAAGGACTGTTTGACAAAGACAAAACACCCCCCAGATTGTCAGCTCTGTTGGGGGTGGGATGGACATCCCCACGGCAGCCTCTTCCATCTTCGGGGTGAAAGAGGGCAACCCAAGCTTTGACCAGTGCACGTATTGCCAGACTCTCTTTGCACTTATGGGGAGAGGGTGGGGTGGGGGCTGTGGGGCAAGATGTGCCCTTTGCCTTCAGGCCCTGCCAGAGCAGTTGCCCCCCCTTTCCCTCCAACTCTTTTTTAACCAAAGGTCAGGTTAAGATGTGAATCTTCCTTTTACCTCTTTTTGCACACACAACCTCCCCCCTGCCCCCCCCAAGCGTGGGGCTGGGCCTTCTTCGTCTGAGCCAGCTGCCCCCCAACCCACCCACCCTGCCAAGCCCTGGGAGGACACAGCAAGACACCCCCCAACACAAAGTATTCAAAAGGGGGGGGCAGCCTGCTGTGCCCACCGTAGCATTTTGTACATGGGATGTGCCTTTTCCCCTTTCGTTTTATACCGGAAATAAAAAAAATAAACATGGAGAAAAAAAACTCAACAGCAATAAAAGTTTTCTTTTGACACAAGGCTGCTTCTGCTTCCTCAGGGAGGGGGGAGTCTGGGCTCGATTGAGGTGTTGCAGACTGGACTTTTGGGAGATTCAAACCTGCCCCCCTCAAAGAGCTCTTGATAGCCACACCACTTGGGGAGGGGTAAAAGCAGCAATAGTGACAACTTGGGGGTGGTAGTGGAGAGAGCAACTTGCGGCCAAGATTTAGTGTCTGTGCTGAGGAGAACCAGTTTAAAACAGGCCTTACTGGGTGCCTGGCCATCCAACATCATGAACATGGAACCAACAGAAGTACCTGCTGGATCAGGCCAAAGGGGCCCCACCTTGGGGCCCATGATGGGAAACCTGCAAGCAGGACTCAAACACAAGAGCCCTCCCCTCCATGAATTTCTCTCATCTTTGGAGCTGTTATGACACCATTTATCGGCCTCCTGTATTTTTGTTTATTTTTTAAAATGTGAAATGACTGTGGAAAACTAGTGTTAAACTGGCTCAGTGAAATCTTGCCCCCCCTCCAAATATGATCTATGGCTGGGCCAGGATGAGGCCAACTGAGCTGTGGGTGCCCCCCCCCAATGTCCTGAGCCCTGGTGGTCGGTGGTCAGGGACATGGGAGCTGGAAGGCCAGCAACCTTGGGAGGGCACCGCGTTGGAGACTCTGGCCATAGACCTCCGCTTCCCCGCCCCCTGATTCCTCAAAACCTGACCTGCTTCTCCAGCCATGGCCCCGGCCAAATTCTAACCCCACTGAATTCAGGGGCACTTACTTCTGGGTAGCGAGATTCCTGCCTTGCAGGGGGTTCGTCTAGATGGGGTCCCTTCCAACTCCACAATTCTATGACACAAACCATTAGGGGCATAATGGGTGTCCTGAAAAGAGATGGGTCGTTTAGCTACCACTCTGCCCAAATCAGTGCCATCTACATCCCTCCTCAGGAACCCCATTCCAGGCTGATGGTTCCCCAGACCGCCTTCTCCCCCCGACCCCACAAAATGAGGCAGCGCAGAACAGCATTTCCCTACTAAAATTTTTATTAAGAAAACAAAGGAACATTTTTTTTTTACTTTGTCTGTCACAAGCCCCCCCATCAAACCCAGGCAGGCCAAAAAGCAGAACAAAAGGGGTGGGGGAAGAGACACACCTGCCTGTGGGAGGGCCGCCCCTCCCCATATCCATGGGGCGGGGTCCACGCCTGTTTGGCGAGCAGGTGGGGCTGACGATCTTGAGTGCAGAAGACCCCAAAGGTGGAGGCGGGAGAGGTGATTCCCCCTCTCCAGACCAAGAAAGGCAGAATTGTGCCCCCAAACCATCTGGCGTGACCCCCTCCAGAAGCAAAGGGTTTTATCTAAAAAGCGTCCTTCGAATGCAGGACAAGTCCATTTCCATGGCTGGCTCTTTTGGTTTTCTGTTTTTGTTCCCAATCCTGCCCTGCCCCCCCCCGCCTGCCACTGACCCAAAGGGCCTGGGGATGGCCAACGATGCAACTGACCGGGGCCAGTTAAGGCTCCCCCCCCCATTTAAATGCAAGCTCCCAAGGGGACAATTCTTCTTTTTCACAGCAGCCGTTCTCTGTGTGAGCTCCAACTGCCCTCAGAGCTCCTTCATGGGGGAACCTGCTTGCCTGTTCTCTCCACCCCCCCAGCCCTGACACCGCACTCCCCAAACCCTGCAGCTTAAAGGTCTGATCCCAATGCCCAGGCCTCCCTCTGCAACCCACACCGCTGGACCAGGAGAGTGTGTGTGTCTGGGGATGATGAAAATGGATGGGTGCGAGATCAAGAAATCTGTGATGCAGGTGTCAGGGTGGCAAAATGGAAGGACGAGGGTCCAGGAGGGGGCTGGAAGAGAGAGGATGTCAATGTGGGGGGCAGCAGGGAGTGGATCGGGGTTCACACACTTCCACACAAAGGATCCCCCCCTCGCCCCACCTGGCCAAGTAAAAGGAATATGGGGGTGCCCACTTGAGACCTCTCTGGCTGTCCTATCCTCCCCCCTCGGTGGGGGAACACGACACGCACCTATTCCGCCCCCCCCGGTGGCCTGTGCGGACACAACACTTCCCCCTCTCTCTCTCACACCCACAGCACGGCCATTCCGGGCGGGTTGGAGACACGTTTATTGTTCATTGGTGGGTGTCAGCCGGGAACGGTGGTGGGGGCGGCAGTGGCTTGGCGCAAGGGCCCCCCTCCGCCTCAAGGCTGCCCCCTGCTGGTGGCACAGAGCGGCACTGCTTCCTGGGGACGGCGCCCCCTGCAGGCTGCCTGGCTCAGCCCTCCTGCGCCCATCGCAGGAAGGTGGGGATGTCCCGGACGGGGACGTTGCGGGTCAGCGCCTTCACCCGCAGGTTGCGGTCGTCCGTCAGCAGCACCACCTCGCGCAGCAGCCGGATCGGGTCGTCTGCAGGGGGGCGAGAGGAGGCGGGAGTCAAGAGCGGCTCAGAAGAGGGCGGGTGCCTGCGTCCGTAACAATAACCATCCCCTTGCTGCGCTCAGGGCCAGGCGACTGTTACAAACCAGAGGCTGTCACGTTTGTCAGGCCTCATCCGCCATAATCCCCTGATCGCCTGGACTGCACCCCAGGCGAGGCATAAACACTCCGGGAACGCCTCCCTCCCTCAAGATGACAAGTTAAGCTGAGGAGGATTTGGCCCAAGGAAGATGGAAACCGGGGCCTTGGTGGTGGGTGGGGGTGGGGGAGATGGCCTGTGCGCCTCCCTGCCAGGAGAGCTGGTTGGGGGGGTGGTGGAGGAGGAGAGGCCCCCAGGCGATGTAGGAGGGCAGGGCAGGAGGCGGCCCGGCACTTTCCGGAGGAAGGGGTGTGCCCGCGTGTTCCCTGCCGTGGCTTTCATACTCTGAAAGGTACTCCAGGTGAGATGGCAGTTTTTTGCTTTCTTTGCCTCGGGCGACGGAGTGAATATTTGCCCGTCCTTGCTTGGGAATGAAACGGTCCTACAATCCTAAGGACGTTTACTAGGGAGTAAGCCCCACCCCTGATAATACAGGAGACCTTACTGCAGAGTAAACATGGAGAGTGTTGGGGGCGACTGCAAGGAGGGTCTCCTCCCTGGCATGGCAGACCCCCCTGCCCGCCCAGGAGGGGCATCTTAGTGCCCCCCCCGAAACATACCTTTGTTGGCCGGCATGAAGTCCTTGGCCTTGTCGTTGCAGTAGTGGAGGCAGCAGGAGAGGATCAGGTCGTCGTTGTTTCCCTGAGGAGGAAGGAGCAGCAGCAGCGGGAGAGGAGTGAGTCCGGGGAAAAGGAACAGCTCAGCTTGCCCTCTCTCAGCCCCAGGGGGGCTTTTGAAAATAGAGACTGCCTATTTGCAGCCTCTTGCTGTTATGGGTGCAGGTGGGTGTTTTGTGTGCGTGTCTATATTCCTGCACTGCAGGGGGTTGGACTAGATGACCTGTGGGGGTCCCTCTACCATTCTATGGGATGAATCTGATGGACGGCAAAAGGTATTCACGTTCATGTTTCTCTCTGTGTTCTAAGAAGTTGCTTGGAGATCTTTGGCTAATGAGCCAAATATGAGCCCGACAAGTCTAAATATTGGGAATTAAGAAAATAATAATAATAATAATAATAATAATAATAATAATAATAATAATGATGATGATGATGATGTTGCATCCAATTAGGTTCTACTCAGAGCACAGCCACTGAAATTAGTGGATCCAAGTTAGGTATGTTCTTTCATTTCAGTGGGTCTACAGTGAGCAGGCCAAATGTTGGATACGCTAAAGAGCTCTCTGTCAGAGGAAATGTAGAGGTCACAGCAGCCGCTGTCACCAGGCAGAGACCCCTCGGGGAAACCCCAAGCCAGGAATATGAAGGCGATGCCCACCCCTGGCATGTAGGCATGCCGCAGGTAGACTGCCCTTCGAAGTGGAGGATCCCATTGAGCCATTGCGGCTCAAGGCAGATGATAAGGACCCCCAAACCCTTTGGAAAAGCGAAGGGTGCTCAGCGCCTTCCCAGGCAGAGATGGGGCTGATGTCCTCTGGGGTCTCAACCCAGAACCTTCTGCACACCAAGCAGCTGTCCTGCTAAGCCCCTCAAAGGCTGTAAAGCTTGAACCCAGGACCTCCCTGTCGCCCCACCGGAAAGTGGGAGCCCCCTCCCCGGCACCTGTTGCCTGGAGATGTCCTCGCTGCGGAAGGAGATGGACTCCAGCTCATTGCCGCGGCTGGTGAGGGCTCGCATGTAGCTGTCCCGCTTCTCAAAGCGCGCCTCCAGGAACTCCACCGCCTTGCGGGCCCGCTCCTGCAGCAGCCGTGCGTAGCCGCCCCCGCGGTGCTCCGACTCGGGGCCCTTGGCCAGCCCGTCCAGCTCGTTGATGACTGGCAGGGAGGGAGGAGAGAGAAGAACGTGAGAGGAGCCTGGGGGATTGTGCCGATGGCGCTTTGAGTCCAGCAATCAGGATAGACTGCCTCTGGGCCTGGGGGCTCCATAAGAAGCAGAGTCTCCTTGGCCAACCAAGGATGTGATCAAGGATGAGCAGGTGCCCATTATGGGAAACCTTCAAGCAGGACCCAAAGGCAACAGCGCCACCCTCCCCAGCACCCGCCACTGCTGCCTGACTGTGGGGGCAGAGTACGGCCACCCTGGCTAGTAGCCATTGGCTGCCTGCTCCTGCTCCCACCCTCTGTTAAAGCCTTCCAAGCTGGCCTTGGCGGTGTGCTTCCTGGGTGGGACGTTTCTGCCCCCACCCCTGCGCCTGAGGCTGGCCGCTTCCCTGGGCTTGGGGGCAGCAGGTTCTGACTCTGGCTAGGAGCGGAGAGAGAGAGGAACCCAGAGGAGGGAGGGGCAGCAGCACTGGTCTGTCTTGCCTGGCTAGAAGCAGCCAAGGCAGCTCCTCTCTCTGCCTCAGAGGGAGCCAGGCAGAAGCTGCCAGAGGTCCCTGGGAACGGCTTTTTCTTTCTTTGCAGCGGGCAGGGTGACAAATATGTCTGGGAGCCCCAGGAGAGCCCGAGGGGGCCTGATGGCACCCCCACCAGACATATGCGAGGCCACGAGCACCAGGGAAGTCCCGGAGCCAATGTGGAACCTAGAGTGAAGTAGCTCCATGCTGTCTGCACTGACTGGCAGCAGCGTTCTAGCATTTCCGGCAGCGTCTCTCCCCACCCTGCCTGGAGATGCCACTGGGACCTTCTGCATGAACCCCCTTCCGCTAAAATCGAAGCAAGAGTCCAGCTCTTACGGTTCTGAATAAAGGGGCCGATTTTAAACAGGAGCATAGGAGCCAGACTTTGGGCCCACCTGGCTTTGTGCTGCTTGCACTGGCTGGCAGCAGCTCTCCGGGGTTTTGAAAGAGGGGCTTTTCCCAGCTCCCTTGGCAGATGGATGGCACTGGGGGCCTGAGCCTGAGGCCTTCTGCGGTGCCCTAATCTACTGCAATTCCTGCCCTGGAGGGGGGCTGGGCTAGATGAGCCTTGGGGGTCCCTTCCACTCTCCAGTTCTAGGGTTCTACGGGGCTACGGCCCTTCCCGTGTTGGCAGGCACCTCTTCCCAGGCACCCAGCCCCACCGGCTCCCTGAGACGGTTCATCTGGCTGCTCTTTTTGGCTTTCCTCGCCAAGAGCTGAGATCAAGTGGGAAGTATGCATTCCTCAGAGAGGCTGGGGGGTTGGATGTGCAGAGGCAGAGACAGAGGGGGAATGTGGGGTGAGGCCTCTCCCTGTCGCTAGGAGCCCCAATGGCCTTTCCAGCGCTGGTGGCACTTCTGGCCCTTCCTGGGACATCCGGCCTGGTCCAGTCCCCGTCTGGGCCAAGGCCTGCTCTCCCGCCTCCCCCCACCGCCGCTGCTTTGCTCTGGGGAGGATGGCCTGGGAGGGGGAGAGAAGAGCCAGCGCAGGGAACATCAAACAGGAGGAGAGCGGCTGGTACTCCGGGCCGAAATCCGCCGCTCGCAGCCGCTTCCAAGCAAAACAGCCTTCAAAGAGGAAGCTTGTTTGCGCTCCTGCCCAAGCTGCCTGGCTGCTTCTCCCCACGCGGGTCGGGTTCAAGGAGCCGGGCGCAAGAGGGGGAGCTTTAACCCCTTCCCTGCTCCATAACAAGTGCCTGCTGGTGATTGCGGGGAGTAACTCGGGAGGAGCCGTGAGGGCAAGTCTGGGGCTTCAGTCTGGGACTTGGTTAGAGCGTCAGGCCAGGGCCTGGGTTCAAATCCCCCACTCGGCCACGAAACTCTCTTCTCTCAGCCTGACCTACCTCGCAGGGTTGTGGTGGGGACTTACAGGAGGAGGAGAACCGTTCACACACCACAGTGAGCTCCTTGGAGGAAAAGGTTGGATATAAATGCAGGAAGTAAACGTTCTTCTCCTCCCAGGTCTCTGGCTGATTGAACAGCCTATATGGCCTTTAAAACTGTGCGTTTGGGTGGTGTTATTGCTTGTCGTTATGTCATGTATTTTTGTGTTTTTACACCGTAAACTGCCCTGCGATCCTCAGTGAGGAAGACCCTCAGTGGAGGAAGCTCAGGCGGTGTTCCCAGGGGAGCTGGGCTGCCGTCTGAGCTGGAGAAGCACACCTCGCTTTACCCCCAGGAGCACAAGGTGTTGAGAGAGGGGTGGGAGGGCGATGCTACACTGACTGGCAGCAGTGGCAATTGGGGATTTCAGTCTCTCCCCGCCGCCCTTGCAGACCCCACAGGGGACGGGACCCGGGACCTTCTGCCTGCAAGCAGGATGCCCTCCCCCCCCAAGCTGCTTTGGTCCTTCCATGAGGGAGGGAGACGTGAGTGCCCAGCGCCTCCACCCTCCTGCCGGCCCGGCCAGACCACCCAGCAGCAGCAGCAGCAGCCGCCTGTTATCTGCCAGGGCCGAGTGTTTACCAATAACAGGAACCAGCTTTGCTGAGTCGCCGGACTGCAGCTTTATAAGGAGAAAAGGGAGAGCCAGGGCCAGGCAGCTGGGACAAGCGCCCTGGCTCAAGACCTCGCCCCCCCCCCCAGTACAGAAGTGCCGGCTGCCCTCACGGGTCAGACCCCCACCTCCCTCACCCCAGAAGGCCTCTGTGAAGGCCATATGCAGGACGCCAGGGCCATGGGACCTCATCCCCCTGCCTGCTTCTGCCTCCCTGCGCCTCGGAGGTAGACTGCCCCTGAGTGTGGAGGCTCCACTGTCGCCTGCTGCTTTGCCTGGAGCCCTGGGAGGTGGCAGCTCAAAACAGGGCAGTCCATTCGGAGGAGAGGAGAGGAGAGAGCCTCTCCAGGAATGGATGAGTGGCGGGCTCCTCTGGCAAGGAGTTCCAGCGGTGAATGACGCACCGCCTGAAGAAGAGGCTGTATGCTTTTGAGGGAACATGCACAGGAGGTCCCCAAACCCACTGCCTTAGTTGGACGGAGGTAATCTAAATCAAATCAATATACCCAAGCGTTTCCTTTGGGTCCCAAAGGATGCAGAGAACAGGTGGGGCTAAGCAAGCCCTTCTTGTGGGCCAGGTGATGTTTGCAGCCTTTATTTGTAAGGTGGGGGAGGGACGTGGCTGCTCCCCGCTTGGAGACAGCGCACCGGGTCCATCTCTGCGCCCGTGAGCGCACACATGCAAGCACACACTCACCAATCAGGGGCACCACAAGGATGAACTGCCGGCAGTCCAGGAGCTTGACCAGGCTGCCCAGATGGTCAATGAAGCCGTTGGTGTCCGGCACCAGGAAGACGGGGCGGATCTCCAGCTCCATCTGCCGCACTTGGGCCTGGTCCTTCAGCACCGCCTAGCACAAAAAAATCCCTGCCTTTGAGCTGAGGGGGGATTCTCCCAGCATGCACCAGGGGGTCCCCCCTCCCCAAATCTCCCCAAATTCTGCACAGCCTGAAGCGTGATGGAAACCAAGCAGCTTGGTGCTGAATCCTTTCCCTCCTACGCAGACCTGCCTGGGCCTTTCAATCAGCCTCAGAGATGTCAAAGTAGAATTGGACCCCAGGGGTCATCTAGTCCAACCCCCCTGCAGTGCAGGAATCACGACTAAGCTCGCCCCAGGGCCATCGCCTCAAGCTCTCAGGTGAGTGAGGGGCCCTTTCAGTGGAGCCCCCTCCCAGAAGAGACATTTGTATGTGCGTGTGGGTTGCCACTGGTTAGAAACATTTATGTTTTGACAGGTTTTTCATACTGGCTTCTCTGCTTGAGGGGGCTCTTTTCAGTTTTGTTGATTATTATGGTTTATTCCGTGTATTCGTCATTAGTCTATTAGTCTCCACCCCCATCGTTCAGCCCAGACACTGAGGTTCAGCTCTGAGGGCCATCTGGCAGTTCCCTTCCTGCGAGAAGCCAAGTTACAGTGAACCAGGCAGAGGGCCTTGTTGGTGGTGGCGCCTGCACTGTGGAACGCCCTCCCACCAGATGTCAAGGAAATAAAGAACTACCTGACTTTTAGAAGGCATCTGAAGGCAGCCCTGTTTAGGGAAGTTTTTAATGTCTGATGTTTTATTGTATTTTTAATATTTTGTTGGAAGCTGCCCAGAGTGGCTGGGGAAACCCAGCCAGATGGGTGAGGTATAAATAAATAAAATAATAATATAAAAGAGTCTCAAGCTCCTGTGATGCACTTCTAAGAGGTGACCTGACTGCAGTTTATGAAATGATGCCTGGCCTGGAGAGAGCGGATAAAGGAAAGTTCCCCTCCCTCTCTCCTAACACTAGAGCTGCTGGACCTGTCGGGAGATTCAGGGCAGATACAGTGGGGCCTCGCAAGACGAAAACCCGCTAGACGAAAGGGTTTTTTGTTTTTTGAGGTGCTTCGCAAGACGAATTTCCCTATGGGCTTGCCTCGCAAGACGAAACGTCTTGCGAGTTCTTGCGGGTTTGTTTCCTTTTTCTTAAAGCCGCTAAGCCGCTAATAGCCGTGCTTCGCAAGACGAAAAAACCGCAAGACCAAGAGACTCGCGGAACGGATTAATTTCGTCTTGCGAGGCACCACTGTACAAGAAAGTCCTTTTCATGCAGGAGGGAGCGATGGCCGCCACCTGGGATGGCTTTAGAAGAGCATTTGACAAATTCACAGAGGAGGGGGCTACGGAGGGTGGCTAGCCACAAGGGCTGTGCTCTCTCGCCCCAGTCGGAGCCTGAATCCCAGCTGCTGGAAATCGCAGGAGGGGAGAGCTGCGCTCAGGCCTTGCTTGCTGGGGCACCTGAGTGGCCACTGCGAGACCAGGAGGCCAGACTAGATGGGCGGCTGGCCTGATGCAGCAGGCCCTGCCTCAGGTTCTTCTGCTTTTTATTTTTATGTCCCGGGAGCCGAGGAGGCGGCACTTGCGAACCCACCCACCCTGAACTGCTCCTTCAGCCCTGTCCGCATTTAGCTTTGCAGGAACAGCACAGCGAGGAATGTAAAAATACTGCCACGACGTCACGCATGTTCCCGGTGGGAGGAGCTGCTCCTGCAGTGCCCCTGACATGCGCATCCGGTGCCCAGGAGGTGCCGCCCTCCCTCCCCAGGCTCCTTGGCCCAGACTCCCGGGCTCCTGGCAAGGCTGAGCGAGGCCTGTGCCGGCCGTCACGTCCCATCCTGCCCCCCTGGGCTGGCCAGGGAGAGGACGACAGGATGCGCATGGTGGTGGTGCTGGGGAGGGTGCCAAGTCCCCCCTCCCCTGCACTCAAGGAGCCGGAGGGGAACTCGCCTCAGCAGGGTTCAGAGGCCAGGAGGAGGTTTGTTTGTGTTTGACAGGGGCTGGCCGAGGGGGTACGGGGGGGGGGGGGAGCGGCGACATCCGGCTGGGCCAGAGAGAGGGGCGTCTGCAAGAGGGGTGGAAGAGGCTGTGGAAAAGCGGGCAGGTGGCTGCAGGGGCACCCAGAGGCAGCAGGGTGCCCCCTCCGCTAGAACCCGTCCCCAAAAGGCTTCCTTGAGAAGAATGGCAACTGAGGGCGTGCAAAGCTGCTCTGCCCTTCCTGCTGCGGGTTGGGGAAGAGGGAAAACAGTTTCCTGGGGAAGACTGTCCCTGAGCGCGTGCAAAGTTGCAGGCGTCGCTGGGGAAGAGAAGGAACGGGCGCAGAGGAGGCCAAAACTTCCACGCCACGGGAGAGGCTTGGCAACTGGCAAGCGGCAGGTTCCGCCGCCCTGCCGGACGCCCCGTGGCGCTTGTTTGTCGTCACTGCGCCCGCCCTGGAGCCGCCTGGGTGGGGGTTGCCCTTCCGCCGCTGGCAGGTGCCTGGCTGTCCGTCCGCGTGCGCACGTGCTGGACAACTCGGAGGAGGGCTAAATATAGGCAGAGCGTCTCCCCGCAGCCCACCCGCCCCGCCCGCCCGCAGCTGGACCTGGCGAGGGGGGCGGGAGCGTGGCTATTCCGGGCAGCCCCCCTGGGGAGAGCGGCTGCCCTGCTCCGCAGTGCCCAGAGGAAGAGCTTGTTATGGTTCAGGTGGGAATGTTTCAGCTGGGCAGGAAATGCCTCCACTCCAGGCAGACAAAGGACCGGGCAGAGGAGTGGGGGGCAGAAAGAGTGCAAAGCGCTCTTTCTGTGGGCTAAATGACACCCCCCCCGCCCAGTCTGAGACAGGTTTGGACGGCCAAGATTCTGCCTCAGAACGCATGGGGGAGACTCACATGGTGCCTCTGAGCTTACGGGGAGTTGAGTGTCCTCCTACGGCACAGGAATATCAAAACAGCCTGGATTAGAGCGGGGGGGGGGGGGGCGGCATACTAGTCCAAAATCCTGTTCTCAGAGTAGCCAAGCAGATGCCCCAAAGCGAAGCCCATAAGCAAGCAGGACCTGAGTGCAAGATCAGCTGCTCTCCCCATTTAAAGGTAAAGGGTAAAGGGACCCCTGACCATTAGGTCCAGTCGTGGCCGACTCTGGGGTTGCGGTGCTCATCTCGCTTTACTGGCCAAGGGAGCCGGCGTACAGCTTCCGGGTCATGTGGCCAGCATGACTAAGCCGCTTCTGGCAAACCAGAGCAGCGCACGGAAATGCCGTTTACCTTCCCGCCGGAGCGGTACCTATTTATCTACTTACTCTTTGACATGCCTTTGAACTGCTAGGTGGGCAGGAGCAGGGACCGAAAAACGGGAGCTCACTCCGTCATGGGGAATCGAACCACCAACCTTCTGATCGGCAAGCCCTAGGCTCTGTGGTTTAACCCACAGCGCCACCCGCGTCCCAAATGCTCTCCCCATTACTATCCAAAAGCATTTACTGCCTCCGACAGTTGCCTGGATTTGGGGCCAAACTCTGGCCCTTTTGACCTGGCCACCAGCCTTGCTGCTGCTGCCTCTCCTTCCGTGGCCTTCGCTGACCTGGCAGTGGTCTTTACGTAGAGAATGCTCCCCCCGCCCCGCTTGCTGTGCCGCTCTCATTTGGGTGAGGAGGAGAAACCTCCATGGCATTTCTGCTTTCTCCTGCGGAGACGAAGCGGAGCCACTGCGGTTAGGAGCCATCGGCAGCCCTCTCCTCCGGCAGGAATCTGTCCAGCCCTCTTTTAAAGCCAGCCAGGTTGGGGGCCACCCTGCAGGAAGGAGTTCCACAATTGTAACTAGGCACTGCGTGGCTTGCCACCTTGGGTGCCCCCCTTGCCTTGCCTGTGCCAGGTCCTGCTGCCCTCCCAATCTCTCGCTGCTTTTGGAGCGGCCCAGGATGGCAGAGCCACCCACCCAGAGGACGCACGGCTCCCTGCCGGCTCTCCTTGCTGCCTCGGCTCCAGCCAAGCGAGCTTCACGCTCTCTCTCCCCTGTGCCTCATGTGCTGGGTCGCTCTGGCTTGCCAGAACGCAGGGCCCTTTCTTCCTCTCCTCTCCTCCTGGCAGGCAGGCAGGCAGAGCGGCTGGCTGGCTGCAGCCTCAGCCATTGGGCCACGGTGGGCCTGGAGAGGAGAGAAAGAGAGAGCGCTGGTGGTTCTGGGCCTGCAGCCAACAGCCGGCGGGTACACATGTGCGCTGCTCTCCCAGTAGGGCCTTCAGCGGCCCTGTTTTACAACCACCTCGGCACAGACTCCAGAGTTCACGCATATGGCTAGACAGATGTGTTTGGCTGGCGTTCAAGGCTGGGAAATGAAGAGTTATGGAAGTGAAGAGGGCCCTGGGCACTGCAAGGAGAGAGAATTTGGGGCGGGGGGAGAGAGAGGAGAGAGAGAAAGAGAGAGAGGAGGGAGGAGGAATTTCCCTTGGCTGTAGGGAGCCAGCCAGCCAGCCAGCCTGCAGGCTCGAGAGGCAAGCCAGCCAACGCCCCAGGGCACTCTCTCTCTCTCCCCTGCAGTTGGCACAGTGGTGCTTCGAACTGCCGTTTATTTCATTCTATTAATGAATGAATGAATTAAATTTGCCCACCACCCTTCATCTGTAGAGGTCGGTTTACAGCAGAATCAACAGGACTACGAATGGGGGGGGGGATGTCGTGGTGAGCTCTGCTGCGGTTTGGGGGATGTGGGACTCAGGCGCAGCAAAGCCTTCCAGCTCAGCTCCTGTCCTGCGTGAGATTTACAATGCAGAGGCGGTTAGGGACTTCAGGATTGCCACCTTGGTCCTGGAGGCTGCTGCCCCCGACTCGCCCAATGATCCGCCTGGCCCAGCAAGGGGGGAGGGTGTGCCGTCCTGATGGTTCCTGGGATTGCGCTCCCAAAAGCTTCCCAGAGATGTGCGCTTGGCATCACCACTGAGGCTGATCTACCCATTTGTCTAATTCTCTTTTAAAGCCATCCGGGTTGGTGGCCATCGCTGTCTCCTGCAGGAGAGAGTTCCACAATTTAACTTTGCATTGTGTGAAGGGGGAGCCCCCCCCCCGTGTCCTGAATCTCCCCACATTCAGCTTCTCTGGATGCTCACGAGGTGCAGTGTTAGGAGAAAGGAAGGAAAGCTTATTTCTAGCCGCACCTCGTGTATTTTATGTTTTTTGTTCACAGCTTATTTCTGCTGTACGTTTGTTAAACTCATCTGTTGGGTTTTTTTAAAAAAAGAATTCCACTTATATGTTGCATGAAACGTGTGATAGGCCACCTTGGAACATTTTCAATGAAAGGCTGTTAAGAAATATTTAAAGCCAGGGGCAGGGAACCTTTTCTTCAGGCCTTAGGGCCACATTCCCTTCCAGGGGCCCCTTGTGCAGGGCCAGAGGCAAGGGCAAATTATGCACATTTAATTTAGCTTTCTACACTAGGCTAGCTTCTGCAGACACTCAGACACCTCCCAAAACCACGTGAAGCATTAAGCAGAGCTAGAAAGGGGCTTGGGAGATTTCCAAGGGCCGGGCGCTGAGGCTTGGAGGGCCGAATTTGGAGCCTGAAGCTGCCTACCTCTGCTATAAGTAAATGGATACAGGCATGCAAGCTGAGATTCCTGTGCTGCAGGGGTTGGACTAGATGACTCTGGGGACGCCTTCCAGCTTTACAATTCGGCCACACGCCCCAATGCAAACCTGGATCTTGTCTTGCCGGCGCTGCTGTTCGGCCACCTTCCTGGTCAGCGCTTGCTTCTTGGCCCGCAGCTCCCTGATGTCCAGCTCTCCGCCGCTGCCGTCGGCCTCCGAGTCGTCCTCAAAAGCCTCGATCCGGACATCGTCCTCCTTGTCACCAGCCAGGAGGAGGGGAGGAAGAAGAAAAGAAAGGGGGGTTGGGAAGGACAATTGCAACAAAAGAAAGCTAGCAAGCGATATGCAGCGCTTTTGGTCCCCCCTCCCTGTTCCGTCTTCCCACCATGAACACTGGGAATTAGAATAATAATAATAATAATAATAATAATAATAATAATAATAATAATAATAAAAATAAATAAATATTTGTACCCCGCCCATCTGGCTGGGTTTCCCCAGCCACTCTGGGCGGCTTCCAACAAAGATGAAAGATACACTAAAATTGCATGGCTGATCTCGCGGCAGGAGGATGTGAGCCCCTGTAGGGAACTACAATTCCCAGGGATCCTTGGGAGCAGGCGCTGCACCGTGGCTCACCCCTCCAAGAAACTCCTCCTGCTGCTACTGCTGGGAAAGAGGTGGAGAGGACCAAGGGCGGGGAGACGTTCCCCATCACAGAACTGCAGAGTTGGAAGGGACCCTGAGGGTCATCTAGCAATCGCAGCGGAAGGATTCCTGACAGACTCCACCACCTCCCAGCCCCTGGGCTCCTGCACACAGGGACACACAAGATATTCTGCTCCAAACCCCTTTTGAAAAAGGGGAAAGGAAGCAGCAGCAGCAGCAGCAGCAGCTGATTGGAGGTCCTTGTCTCCTCGGCCCAAGGCTGGGCAAAAGGGTCTCCCCAGCCTCAGAATCTCCTCCTCTCTCCTGCACAAGAACCTCAGAAGAGCCAGATGGATCAGGCCAGTGGCCCCTCCAGTCCAGCGTGCTGTCCCCACAAGCAGGATCTGAGCACAAGAGCCTTCTCCCCTCCTGCAGTTTCCAGCAACTAGGGTTCAGAAGTATTGCTGCCTCTGACCGTGGAGGCAGAGCCAAGCCCCTGGGCTAGTAGCCACTGACAGCCCTCTCCTCCCCTACAGGACTTATAAAAAATATTGGGGGGGCCCGGGAAAGCTCATGAATAATAAATAAGCTCATGAATATGCAAATAAAGTGGCGCCGCCTCCTCGTGAGCGAATAGGGGAGAGCGTGCTGCGCCTATTAATCAGCTCCAAAGGAAATTGGGTGGAGCTTTTGCTCGGGAGGGAGGGCAGGAGGCATGCAGCCCGCCCCTCCCTGTGCATTTTGGGCTGGGGGAGGGGCGGCGATGGCGCTCTGCTGGAGGGGCGCCGGAGATTATTGGGGGGGCAGAGCCCCCCCAAACGAATTTTTGAGGGGGCTCGGGCCCCCTCAAGCCCCATGGAGTCGGCGCCTATGCTCCCCTATGAATTTGTCAGATCCTCTTTTTAAACCTATCCATGTTGGCGGCCATCCCTGCCTCCAGTGGGAGGGAGTTCCATAGTTCAACTCAGCACTGCGTGAAGGACTCTCTTTTATCCATCCTCAATTTCCCAACGTTCAGCTTCAACGCATAGCCTTGAGTTCTCACGTTATGAGTGGCTTTTCTTTATCTGCTTTCTCTATGCCATGCATGACTTTTATAAACTTCTATTGTGTTGCCTCTCACTCGCCTTTTCTCTAAAGTAATCCTCAAAGCTGCAACCTTCCTTCACGGGGGAGTCTCTCAAATCCCTCAATTATTTGGGCTGCCCTTTTCTGATCTTTCTCCCTGCTCTACAATATCCTCTTTCAGGTGAGGCGACCAGAACGGTCCTCCTCTGCAGATTTTATCTGTAAGCCGCCTTGTGTCCCGGTCAGGGAAGAAGGAGGGGTGTAAATAAACAAATCTGCCCCATCCTCTTTTAAAGCCGTCTAGGCTGGTGGCTGCTTCCTGTGGGAGTGAGTTCCGCAGTTTAACTCTGTGGAGAACGAAGGAGGGCTTTCTTCTGCCTCCCACCCGCTTCCCGCTCTCTGACCTCCTGCGAGATCCTCCTCAAGGCAAGCGCAGCCTTGCAGAGCAGCTGGCAGGGATGCTGAACGAACACCAAGCGCTCACACACTCTCACACACGGACGGCCTGCAGAGAACCCCGGGCTACAGGAACAAGCCGGGGCAGAAAAACAAGAGGAGAAATTCCTTAATCACATCAGGATGTGTGTGTGTGAATGAGAGAGCGCGAGAGGCAAAGGGAGGGCAGGGAAGAGGAGAGCCAGCACCAAGCCCCTCTCTTCCTGTACGTGGGCTGCTGTTCGGTGCTGCTTCTCACCCCCCCTCCACCGCCCCAATAAACTCGATCCTGAGCCTGAACCCTCACCCTGCTCTGCCTCCCACCCCCCAACCCTTTCCTGCTGGGCCTGAGCTGCACGTTATTAAAGCTGTGCCCCCCCACCCCGAAAGGAATCGTTATTTGGAAAGCGCATCTGGAACTCATCGCTGTTGCCAGAGAGAGAGAGACAGAGAGAGACAGAGAAATAAAGGCTGCTGGCAGGAAGGGGCACATATGAGTGCAACGGCGGCAGCAGCAGCAGGACCCCCCCCCAAAGGCTGGTCTTCCTCCTCCTCCTGGCCAGCTATAAATAGCGGGGAGCGCGGCCAGCCCAGGCCCCGCTGGGGCAATTGCTCCTGCTGCTGCCTGCGCTGATCTCTCCCCCCCCCCCGCCCTCCGGTACCTGATCTTCCAGTTGTTTTCCCTCTTGGCTGGCTGCTTCCTTTCCCATGGCGTCTGGGACGGGGGCCACTGACACATACTTTCCACCCTTGAATGCCAGCAATGGCTCTTCTTGGCCACAGAGGGCTTCCAGGAAATACTTCAGCACAGTGACCCGCTTGCAGTCCGCCGCAATGACCTATGGAGGAGCCAGGATGAGAGAGATGGAGGGGGTGGGGACACACAACAAGATACAGAGGTCAGAGGGCATTGTCTGGGCAGGGGGGACGGGACAGGGCGCAGGCACGTAGCAGAGCCAGAGGGAGACCCGGGTTTGAGTCCTGCTGGCAACACGGGAGCACCCAACCTCTCCGACACTAAACAGGCTGCTGGGCCGTTGGCCAGGAGAGGAGAGGGCATCTGTGGCTAAGGAGAGAAGCAGTGGGGCGTAGTGGTTAGTGTGCTGAGCGAAGGCCTGGGATCAAATCCCTGCTCAGCCAGGAAGCTCACCAGCCGACTTCGCCCTGGTCACTTGTCTCTCAGGCTCACACCCTACAGGGTTGTTGTGGAGACTGAAGGGAGAGAGGGAGAAGGCGCACAGCATTGTGGGCTCCTTGGAGGAACAGCGGGATATCCTGTTCTCCAGATCCTCAGAGCTTTAAGCTGGAGATGCCAAACCTCCGATGGAGGGGGCGGCTCTTGTGGCATTATGAGAACATGATCCGAGAGACTTCTCTACCCGCTGCGACTGCTCACGACACCAAATGGGCTTCCGAGCTGGACTCAGCTCTGGGACCTTCCCTTTTATGCATCTATATTTAAACCATCATATCTCTCTTTATCAATTTCTATTTTTGAACCATCATATCAATCTCTAAACCTGGCAAACCTTTGAAGCAGTTGAAACAATAAAAGAGTTCAATACAATAACAGGTGGAAATGTAGATAGAGAAAAGGGGAGCGTTTTAGGGTGCTCCAGCATGAGGGCCAGTTCCAGCCACATGTTGGATCCGCCCAGGAAAGAGGCTTTCCAGGTTTGGCAGGGCAAGCCGCCAAGGTGCCCCACTCCTGCAACCCGCAGGAGAGCCTCTGATGGGCACCAGGTTGGCCAAGGCTGGCCAAAACTGTGCCACCCTTTTCCTCCTTGCGGGTTTCCCTTTGGGCATCTAGGTGGCCACTGTGAGGAAAGGATGAGGGGCCAGATGGGCCACTGGCCTGATCCAGGAAGCTCTTGGACCAGACCAGCACCCTGCTTTCCACAGCGGCCAAGAAGACACCCACAGCAGGGTTCGAAAGGGACGCCCCTTTCCTGCTGCAGCTGCCCAGTGAATGGTGCTCAAGAGGGTAGACCGGGTGTCAGCAACCTTTTTCAGCAGGGGGCCGGTCCACCGTCCCTCAGACCATGTGGGGGGCCGGACTATATTTGGGGGGGGGGAAATGAACGAATTCCTGTGCCCCACATATAACCCAGAGATGCATTTAAAATAAAAGGACACATTCTACTCATGTAAAAACACGCTGATTCCAGGACTGTCAACGGGCCGGATTGAGAAGGCGATTGGGCCACATCCGGCCCACGGGCCTTAGGTTGCCTACCCCTGGGGTAGACTGTGCCTGGATGTGGAAGCTCCATGTGCCCATCAAGATCAGCAGCCTCTGCCAGCCCTCTCCTCCTCCTCGGATATGTCCAATCCTCTCCAAAGCCTCTTACGCCAGCAGCCATCACTGCCCCATGTTCCAAGTCAGTGACGCACCCGGGTGAAGAAATCCTTCCTTCTCTCGCCAGCCTGGGAGGGCTGCGATCCTTGACAGGCTCGGCTCTGATGGACAGGGCTGCCGGCAAGCTTCCGAGAGAGAGCCTGTAGGGCGGTCGAGCCAACATCCCTCATTGCTGAGGGAAGTGAGAGGAGGGAACCTGGGCTGGGGAGGGAGAGGAGGGAGGGCAGGCACCCCAGCATTGCTGGTGCAGACTCTGCTCCCCCATGCCCATTTCAAAGGCACAAAAAAGCAGGGTGGTGTTTTCCTTTTTTGGGGGGGGTGGCGGCCTCCTTCCTGCTGCCCTCCTTCACTTCAGGGAATTGGTGCTTCTGCTGTGGCCAGGTCCCCCCAGAAGGGATTTCAAGGTGAAAATGTAGACCCACCCACCCACCCCACATGGCAAGCGCGCATGCTGGCTCACTGCAATGGCAGCCAGACAAAGAAGTCACAGAACTGTAAAACTGGAAAGTACCCCCAAAGGTCATCCAGTCCAACCCCCTGCCATGTAGGAGTCACAGGAGCCCCAAGAGTCTGAGAAAAAAACGAGATGGGAAGCCGCAGGATGGAAGATGGCTGCCGGACAGCTCTTCCCTCTGTGTCCTCAGCTCCTCCTGTCTTGTCCCAGTCTGTGCCGCATCCTTCACTGAGCTACAGACCTTTCCGTGAAAGTAAAGGAAGATTCTAGTCCTCATGGATCTCAATAATAGGCTGAAACAGGAACCTAGGAAGTGGCCTTATACCCAGTAAAACCAATGGTTCATTTAACACAATAGTGTCTACACTGACTGGCAGCAGCTCTCCAGGGTTTCAGGCAGGAGTCTCTCCCAGTCTAGGAAATAAAACAACTATTTGACTTTTAGAAGACGAGTGAAGGCAGTCCTGTACAGGGAGGCTTTAAATGTTTGATGTTTTATTGTGTTTTCAATATTTTGTTGGGAGCTGCCCAGAGTGGCTGGGACAACCTAGTCAGATGGGTGGCATATAAACAATAAAGTTATTATTATTATGACCTGGAGAGGCCTTTGGGGGTTGAACCTGGAACCTGCTGCCTGCAAGACAGACGCTGCACGGCCCTCCCCTGCCTGCAGAGAAGACGGTGAGCCCTTTGGGCACAGTTGCCCTTGACCGTGAGCACCGGAGGCCTGGCCTGCGAGAGGGGATGCCTGCTGGCCAGGAGAGGGATCAAGGGGGAAGAAGTGTGCCCCACAAGCAGCACCAGCAGAGAGCCCCCCAGCACTCTCTGGGCCAAGAGGGAGGGGGTGAGGGGCGCTGGCCTAGCCCAGGTGGCTCCCTGTGGAGGCTGACTCAGAGCTGCCAGGGCTGGTGGGGAAAGGCAGCTCTGCTCTGCCCAGGAGAGAGGAAGTGCTTGCACTTCCCCTGCCCCCTCGAGCTGCCAGCTTCCTCTCTGCCGCAGGGTAATCGGAGTCCCCTGGCGCATGGGCCATCAGCTGCCTCACCCCGCCGTGACCTCCCTGGCCTGACATTGCCCCCCACCCGGCAGGAAGCAGGGAACAGGCTGCAATGGGGGGGGGAGGAGCTGCTCCCCCTCCCCAACAAGCGTGGGTCTGCCGGTGTGGGCAGAGAGCGAGCAAGAGCGTCCGTGGGACGCAGCTGAGGCGGGGAGGCCTCGGAAGTGCCACAACTGGCCAGCAACCCACCTGGCCCGCCTTAAAGGGTTGGGGTATGGGAGCACCCTCTGAGCATCCAAGTCTGGGCATGGGCCTTGCATGAAGGAGATGCCAGGTTCAATCCCCAAGGGCATCTGTCGGCAGGGGAAAAACCCCCACTCCTGTCTGAAAAGCCGCCCTGTGAAAGGGAGCCTAGAAACAGAGCTCAGAGGGAACCGTGTGGGGTGCTCAGGATGGGACTGGTGCTGCCAAGGTCCCCTGAGAGTTCACTCCCCTTCTGGATCAATCTGGGTTTTGGGCAGGGACTGTGGTCCACCAATTCTGGCGCTGGCCCTTTGGGGCTCCCGGCTTCTCCCCCTCCGCCCTTGCGAGCCGAAGCCCAGCTCCTAAAGTTTCGATCCTGCGACTGGAAATGTTTCCCCTGCCCCACCCAGTGGACCTGACAGGAGACGGGTCTGGATGGGGGACAGAAGGCGGAGTGCTGACTGGATGTTGGCAGGCCTGAGCCCCTGGCAAGACAGCGTGGCTGGCCCTGGCCTACCTTGTGGCGCGGCCGGGAGGGTGCGAAGGACGATAATGCACTCTTTGGCACCAGGTGCGTCATAAATCCCGCGACCGGGTTTGTGGGACGTACGAACATGAGAAGAGGCTGCTGGATCTGGCCAGTGGGGGCCCCTCTAGTGCAGCGCTTCTTCCCAGAGTGATCGCCCAGGTGCCTCTTGTGGGAATAACCTCCGTGCAAGGGGTTTCCCTGGGTCCAGGGAAGCGCTGGGGTGTTGCTGCAGAGAGAAGGCGGCGCTGGGAGAATCTGTGCATGGGGGGAAAGAGGTGGCAGGATCGGGCCAAGACTTGGGGCTCTGTGCCACACACCCCAGAGGCACAAACTTCCCCTGCAGCTCACGTTCCCTGGACCACCTCGAAAGGAGGCTTGATTTACTGATCGCCTCCCCTCTGTTAATTCCTGACACCTTTTGGCTGGCTTTCACAGTTTGTCTGAAGCGCTTGGGAGCGAGAGAGCCAGCACAGGGTTGACACCAGCCTTGACTGGGAAAGGTCAACCTCGCCAGCCCCTTGGCAGCAAAGCTCGGCAGCTGCAGCACAGGACCCGGTGGGGGCAGGAGATGAGGTGGGGCTCAGGAGACGGCCCAAAAGCTCTCCTGGCAAGGAGCTGGTGAAAGTGGCTGCCAGAGCCTCCCTTCCTCCTTTGCTGGCAGAAGCTCCTTGGAGCACTTAACAGGTGATTAAAACATCAGGACAGGAGAGACCCTGAGCCAAGCGCTCCACTTGGCCACATTTGCACACCAGGGGAAACTGGAGGCAGCCCCATCTCTCTGCTCCCCTGACCATGCAGCTGCCCCTGTGGTTCCCAAAGTGGGTGGTGTCCCCCCTTGGGGGCAGTGCAGTTTCCTGGCAAGGGGGCAGCAGGGGGGCACTGGAGGTGCAAAGGACTGTCGGACTGGGAAAGCTGGTTTCACTGCATCAATTTCACCCGTTTTGTTGAATTAAGTTCAATAGTTCCAACCGGATTTTGAGTAAATGTGCAACCAATTGTTCCTGTTATGAATTTCATTGTGTTCGGGAAGACCACTATGCTGAACAATGCTTTCTATAGGGTGGGGGCTCTGGGGAGGAGTTTGTGGAAACAAGGGGGTGGGGGCCTGAAAAAGTTTGGGAACCCCTGAGCAACGGGCCTATTTGCTGCCCACTCCTGGCTGGAGGTCTGGCCCTGAGCAATGGGAGAGGCACCCCCTGAGGTCATGGCAGGCCTTCGGGGCTCTGCGGCAGGAGTGGCGCAGGGGCTGGCAAGCTGGCC